GTTGGAAGGGACCTCAGGAGGTCATCTAGTCCAACCCCCTGCTCAAAGCAGGACCAATCCCCAATTTTTGCCCCATATCCCTAAATGGCCCCCTCAAGGATTGAACTCACAACCCTGGGTTTAGCAAGCCAATGCTCAAACCATTGAGCTATCCCTCCCCCCTGAACAGGGAACACTCTAGATTCTTGGTAATGTCAAGTACTTTGGAGATCTAACAGTTGACGATTTAGTGGCCCACGAAGACAAAACATTATACACACCCAGGATGATCAAGGTCTGGCTGAAACCACAACCATGGGTTTGAATTTCCTAACTTCTATACCTTTGAAATCTCAACCACATCACTGCATTTACGTTAAGTATTTTTTTTAAAAGTGTAACCACTATCTAGTTTAGAAACAAAGTACGTGAGAGTAATGAATGAGACACAATACCCCACCGCCTCTTTGACGGATGAAGATACTTGGCAAATGCTAACCTTAAGGATTCACCATTTCTTTTCTTATCTCATAAGAAAACATTGATTTGTTTAACGTGCCCACATCTTGTGATTTCTCTCTTCCTCTGCTTGTCAATTTCACAAAACCAACTTAGAGTTAGGCCAGATTGGTCCATGCCTTTGATCAATAGAAAGGCAGAGGCTACAAAGGTCAAGAAGATTCTATTTTCCATAGGCAGATATGTGCATGAACTTAGATATTGCCTGGCTGAACTATACAATATTCTTGCCTGTTCTCATACATTTGCTTTTGGGAGCACTAAACTTCAATGAGAAGGTGATAAAAGAAGGCTAATATTCAAAATCAGTCTTGCAAACCTCCTGCATTTTGCAGCAGAATCACACTTCCGAGACCATCAGACCCATCCCCCTGCTCCAAGCAATTAATCTTCAGAAAATATTGCAAGCCCCTTGATTTTTTTGTGAGCTGTAACATATGAAAGAGAGAGACAGATGATCGAGGCGCTAGATGAGTGAGAAAAATCCATAAACAGGTCAAATGAACTGAAATCAATTTTCCATCCTGGATCCAAGATAAGAAAATAGAGATTTTATGAGAAAGCAGCCGTGTGGATGCTGTCTTGATAAACCGTTTTGGTTGAACAGCTTTTTTGATACAGCAGCAGCAGCTTTGTGACTGCTTAAGAAAGTACCGTTTATAGCCAGTCTGAAGGCAGCTAAAGAGCCCTGGCCTTTTCTTAGGCTGCTGTGAGCCTGAAGACATGCAGGTCTGGACAGGATCTGCAGCTTCAGAGGTGATCATGCTGGCCCAGCCCACACAAAAGCACAGCCACAGAAAGTTCCTCCTCTCGCATCTGCTGACTGGATGGCGAGCTGTCAATCCAGCACAGAGAGCAAATGGAGGGTGAGTGTAAGTGGCCCCAGGACCATGCAGAAGCAGAGAAAAACAGTGCTGGTACTAAAGCCCAGGACAAAGGGGAATCAGGGCAGCACTGGCTGTGTGGGACCCGCAAAAGCAGGTTTCCTCCCTCTGGCTGAACCTGCTGATGGCTTTGTGGCTTTATCTAAGGGCATTAGAGGAAGACTTAGAAGACGCTGGTTTAATTCCCCACTCCACCACAGGCTTCCTGCGTGACCCTGGGCAAATCCCTTAGGGTATGTCTATGCTAATAAGAACTTGGCAGTGCATCTCAGAGCCCAGGTCAACTGACTCTGGCTCTCGCTGAGTGGCTAAAGATAGCAGTGTGCAAGTTGGGGCTCAAACAACCCGGTGAAAGGGGTGGGTCTCCGAGGTCAGGCTCCAGCCTGAGTGCCGATGCTGCTATTCTTAGCCCTATGGCATGAGCCCCACAAGCCCAAGTCAGTTGACCCCAGCCCTGAGACTTGCTGTGACTCCATTGTAGTGTAGACATACCCTTAGTCTCTCTGTACCCCACTTCCTGCATGCACAATGGGGATAATAGCACTGTCCTATCCCCTGGGGGTGCGGTGAGGGTAAATCCATCAAAGACTGTAAGGCGCTGAGATACTGCAGTGGCAGGGGCCATGCGAGTACCTTAGACAGATGCAGCCTCTGATGGGGCAGGAGACCAGCAGTGCTGATCTAAAACGTGCTCTGCTGCCTTCCCCATGGGTACCCCTAGCTGTTTGGTAGCAAAGCAGAGGGTCAGCCCTCAACCTAGGCAGGCTGTTGGTAGCAAACTGGAGGCCGCCCAGTGTCAGGTGCTGAAACTGCCTCGCTGGACCCCTTGTGGGCCCCTTATCTGCTGCCCAGCAAGCAGGGGGCAGGTCAGCCACTGGTCGCAGGAGTGCCCATCCTAGCACATCCCCCTGGGCTGGTAAGCACCGGGGGGGAAGCCTCTGGCGCAAAGGGATTCTGCCACAAGCACTACACTGTGTCCACAGACAACACGCCTTTGCTGAGCGTGCAAGCAGCAGCAGCTCGCCAATGTTTCTGCTAAGGCTGCTCAACTGTTGCAACCATTAATAGAGGCCGAGGATTTCCCGCTAGTCTGGGGAAGTGCCCTGCCCTCCCCGCACAGGGGGGAAGGTCCTCCCAGACAGCAGAAAAGGCAGCAGCCAGTCACTTCATGGCAGCAGAAAGACTGGAAAGTTGCAATCAGCTCAGCAAACATGCCAGCAGGAGAAGCTGCCTGTCTGTGGGAAAAGAAATATAAGAAGTGATGATGAAAAATAAGTACAGAACTTTTCCTCCAGGACACTGGATTGGAGAGAAATTCCTCTGAGTCATGACTTCGGCCTGGAGCCATAGAATCATCACAAGGGGAAAATACTGGTAACTGATGAGTCAGCGTGTCCTCCGAAGGCAGCTTCGAAACAGAATCTTCTGTTTTAAAGGGACACAGCTGAAAAGTGCCTGATCTCCGACCTCCGATTTGAAACCTGTGACACTGTGGTGGGAACATATGCTGAAACCAAGCTTCTTAAAAATTCACTGTTCTGAGGGGTGGCATTTCTAGGCTCTCTTCATCCTTATCCACATGATTTATTCTGGCAGCCCTTCAGAGAGTTCCAGGCCGAGTGACCTGGTGTGTGGGAATAATATGCCTTGAAGAAGAGGCCTTGGTTAATAAGAAATAACTCCTTGCAAAAAAGCTGTCTTTGCAGAGAGAGTGCAGGGAACATCTCGTTTTATGAGCTTGGGATTTAGGCTATGTCTACACTATCGCGGTATATCGACCTACCCTACGCAACTCCAAGCTACGTGAATAACATAGCTGGAGTTGATGTATCTTAGGTGGAGTTACCGCGGGGTCTATGGGAGAAACTCTCCCATCGACTTACCTTACTCTTCTCGTCGGGGGTAGAGTACAGGGGTCGACTGGAGAGTGATCTGCTGTCGATTTGGCGGGTCTTCTCTAGACCCGCTAAATCAACTGCCAGTGGATCGATCTCAGAGTATCGATCCTGGCTGTAGTGTAGACCTGCCCTTAGGGTCCGATTTTGCACCACTGAAGTCAACAGGTGTTTTACCATTCACTTTGATGGGAGCAGGACTGGAGCCTTCATGCTCTCCCCACAGGCTACACAGGAGGTAGCAAACTTGCCCATTTCCCCAACGTTTTTTAAACTACAGGATGGTTTGAAATAGAAACTTAAATGTGTGGTGTGTGGGTGTGCGTGTGTGTGTGTGTGTGTATACACAGACACAGACAGGCACACTCACTTATTCTAATCTTGTATGCTTGCCAGGTGATACACTGTATTTTCCTTCTAACAGATGCTAGGCAGAAGTCAATAAACTAGTTCATACAGTACAAGCTTGATTATTTGAATGCTACAGAGACACTGAAAGGTTGGATGATAAAGGTTCTGATAATTGAGGGAATATTCAATGTAATTAACAGGCACTGAGGGATATGAAGCTGTTTCAGATGACAGGTGGTTGGATAATTGAAGTTATCCGAGATGGATGAGATTCTGTCACTCTTACACTGAACAGTATCAGCCTCCATAAGTAACTCCAATGAAGTCAGGTGGCCCTACTGGAGGAGTAATGGGCTTCTCAGCATGAGTAAAAGTATCCGAATCTGGGTCTCTAGTTGTTTTCCTCTCTTCCACAGTATTTTAGAATGTGTGGATACATACAAAATATGTATCAGTATCTTTAAAGCAGAGTTAATATTTATTCAGGGAATTAAATTCAGCTAATGGGGAACCAATCAGCCAGCACGGCAGCATCAGAAAGTCATCAAAGTCCTACCCTACAACTTCACTGACATTTAATCATGCCACTTATGTTAGAGGACTGCGACAACTGCGGTCAGGGCGCCATAACAGAGGGGAAAAAAGATGGAGCGAGAGAAATCCGTATTTGCCAAAGAGCATAAAGTCAGCAAGGAAATAAATGTTACTTCCTACTTTTAAGAGGTATTGCAAACACTGAACAAAAAGAAATAAACCATGACATGAAAAGGAATTGATTTACAACCCTCTATTTGACAGGTTTCAGAGTAGCAGCCGTGTTAGTCTGCATCCGCAAAAAGAAAAGGAGTATTTGTGGCACCTTAGAGAGTATTTGTTTTTTCATTTAGGATCTTGGAAAGAATTTTGAGCAGTGAATCTATGCATGGCTTCTTTCCCCTCACCTCACACATGCTGTACTGAGATTCACCAGATTTAGAAGAAAAGTGTCTCCTATTTGTAATCCGTATTCATTTGTTGATTGCAACTAACGGTATTTGCCCTTGCTTGACTGTGATTATCGACTGCATGAGGGGAATTCTCAAAGTTGCATAGTGCTGACATAACTCTTCAAGGGGAGCCATTTTAGGCTAATACTGAGCAGTTTTGAATCCCACCCTAGAATGCAAACATCTATAGCTGGGGTGGGCAAACCTGGTCATACTAACTGGGCTAAACCAGCTTCATTGCACTCAAGAGAGTCCAGCACTTATAAGAGCAAGTCGCACCAATACATCTGCAAACAAGATGACCTGACATGGCTACGAGAGCGAACAACAGGTGAGTTATAGCAATACAGCTACAGGATGCAGCTGGGTCGCAGTTTGGGACTCACCTGTGGCCGAGGATGGCCAGTCACCAAGCAGGTGAGCTCCAGAGTCTCCCCCTCGCGGATGGTGTATACCCTCTCCGAGTAGCGCTCCTCCTCGATGTTACACGCCAGGCCTGAGTGCACAATCCGCACTGTGGGTGGGCCTGTCAAACCAGCAGAAAGAGAAACAGGTCAGTAAAATGTTTCCACACAGTGACTTGTCCCTTGTCCCCACAGGACCAACTGCTACACATAGCTCCAGCCATGCTCAGCCCAACTCAGTGCCAACAGTGTGTGTTCACGTGAGGGGTAAGGCCCTTCTCCAACGGAAGAATCCAATGCTCTGTTTTTGGATGCAGTTATATGACTACTCCCACAGACTTCCTCTAAACACCTTCCCCTCCCCCACTGCTCTACACCCCCATAAAAAGCAGGGCCACAAACAAGGAACCAGAGAACAGCTCCATCTCTGATGTTTGATTTGATTATTTTTCCCCTTCCATTGCAAGAGACTCCAAAATGACATCCTTGACATAGGCACACAAGAGCTGCAGGGGCATGCAGACCTCCTCTCGCAGCCTCAAAAACTGGGCTCACCCTTGCCCTGGTGGAGACTCTGCTACAGATGCTAGGACTTCAGCCTCCTGCCCATTCAGCTGTCGGGCTCTCCGATGAGGCTGCCAATATGGGGCACAGTTGGGATAGTGCTTTTTCGGACACCTTTAGCGTAATGACTGGCCTGAAATCACCTGCTTGCTTTGCAAAGGCATGGAACAGTCTGAAGTGTACCAACTTCTGGACTAGCTTAGAACCAGTGCCCAGATTCACTGACGATCCCACTCCCATTTCTGTGACCTATCCAATCTGTGTAGCCTTTTGTCCATATTTTAAGGTAGAGATGGGCACCTGGAACCTGAAAACAACAAACTTATGGGAAGTTCAGATCCAAAATCCAGATATTAAATGTTTGGCACAAGCCCATCTCTACTGTGGCTATCTCCCTACCTAGATTAGCATCCACTGGCATGAAAGGCAAACCCAAGGGCAAGTTTTAGTAGGAATGACGCCTTCATTTGATGATGCCATTTCTTATTCTTTAGACATGGGGAACCTCAAGAACAGTGGAAGACACAGTGTGACTGCTAGCACTGAAAGAGAAAGATATTTAACTGCAAACATATTGCCTGAAAATATGGTACTAACACACAATTATAATGACCCTGCCCAGGGGTCGTCAGCAGGGTTTGAATACAGGAACTTGAGCTCCACAGCACGGCACCCTCCCACGTGAACTGAAAGACGAACTCCATTAGCCGGCGGCAGTAATAGGCTGTGAGGGACAAGTTCAGTGCCATGAACATTGGCTGTAATATTTATGTATATCCAGCGGTCCCCTAAAGACACATTTGCACGCTCGTTTATTTTTGTTTTCCTTCCCAAAATCAACTTTCCATTTTTGTTCTTTTTATTATATACCTTTCTAAATGTATTATAACACTTATTAGGTAAATACGAAGCTTTAATCAAACCACTAAAATAAAGTAGTCAGCACAACAGGGTTGATTCTACTCCCATTTAAAGTGAATATTAACATCCGTCAACTTCACTGGGACCAGGAGCAGGACCGGAGTTTCAGTTAGGACAGATTCCATTTTCCTGGTATATTTAACCTGCACTGAGAAAAGCAAAATGTTTCCATATGCCCCACATGTGTAACATGTGGTGCCTATGCTGGAAAATTACAATGGTTGTCGTATTGGATGCACAAGTCACAATAATGTTTTAACAGTCCAGGAGAGAACAACAATGGCTCTACGGGATGTCAGTAATTCCGAGCCATGCAATGCCCCCTCATTCAAATTCCACACGAGCAGATCGATAGGAGGATAAGGTCAAGTACTCATTACAGTGCCTTTGCTGAATGAAATATAAGACGACAATAAACGGCAGAAATGGCAAAAGGTAAATCAGATGTATAAAAAAATAAGTCAGCTTTAAAACTCTCCGGAGCGATGCTATTCGTTAGTAGGGGCAAACGCGACTGTTAACCTGCGGGCGGCTCTTCAATCAGACAGCCTGGCACAAGCCTACAGGACAGCGAAATCAGATCCAGTGGTGAACTCTTGGCCCAAAGGAGCTCCGACGCATGGGTCTGAGCAGCCCACCGTGTCGATGACCTGGAAGCCTCAGCCCCTGCTTCACTGAATGGAGGCTAAGTAGGCTCTGATACTGCAAAGACGTATGCACATAATTCACTCTACACTGTGAGAACGCCCCTCTTTCGGCACATCAAGGCTCAGTGTTTCTCCCTCTGGCGCCGAGGGGGCCTGTGGTAAATCAGTCCCACTATGGAGGTTTAGTACTGGACATTAGTTTATTTACAGTATTCATAGGGTAGGCCTTGGGGTTGGCCTGAGGGCTTTTTTAAACAGAAACAAAAAATATTTAAATTGCCTCACTCCCACTGGAGAACTGCCTCTCCTCACGCCGGCTACCTATCACCAGTCATCCTCTTTCACTCACGCTGGGCCCAGCTATGCTGCGAACCCAGGTCCTCTCCCCAGACAGAAACAACACAAGATTTCCCTTATAGGGAAAAACAGCTCTTCACCTAGGAGATGCCTTTTCCCCTTGCAGCACACAACCCTTCTGCAGCTTGCATCTCATGTCTCCTTGTAGCCCGTTCACTGGAGCTGGTTTTTAACGGTCCCAGGCTGCCCTTAATTAGACTCAGGTGTCCACAATTAACGAGAGGTAACCTCTTTCAGTTCACAGGGAAAGGGCTTTAATCATTCTAAGACTAATATACCACCCTCCGAACACCCTTCCAGAACTGCCAGGGCCTGAGTTTAATGGCTGTATGCAGTGTTGTTGTGTGTAGTGTTGTTCCCAGGATATTAGAGAGACAAGCTGTAAGCTCAGGAGTTAGTCCAATAAAAGACATTAACTCCCCTACCTTGTCTTTCAGATCTGCCTTTGTCACACCACATAGCTTTATGCACCAAGCATGTCCCTAAATCTTTGCAGATCAGGGTTTTAGCACCTGAGCAGAAATCCAGGCTCAAAGAATCTATCAGGTGACAACAATGATTTCTTTTCACATGAAAACAACCAATATGCACCTACAGAATCATAGAATCATAGAATATAAGGGTTGGAAGGGACCCCAGAAGGTCATCTAGTCCAACCCCCTGCTCGAAGCAGGACCAATTCCCAGTTAAATCATCCCAGCCAGGGCTTTGTCAAGCCTGACCTTAAAAACCTCTAAGGAAGGAGATTCTACCACCTCCCTAGGTAACGCATTCCAGTGTTTCACCACCCTCTTAGTGAAAAAGTTTTTCCTAATATCCAATCTAAACCTCCCCCACTGCAGCTTGAGACCATTACTCCTCATTCTGTCATCTGATACCATTGAGAACAGTCTAGAGCCATCCTCTTTGGAACCCCCTTTCAGGTAGTTGAAAGCAGCTATCAAATCCCCCCCCTCATTCTTCTCTTCTGCAGGCTAAACAATCCCAGCTCCCTCAGCCTCTCCTCATAATCATGTGTTCCAGACCCCTAATCATTTTTGTTGCCCTTCGCTGGACTCTCTCCAATTTATCCACATCCTTCTTGAAGTGTGGGGCCCAAAACTGGACACAGTACTCCAGATGAGGCCTCACCAATGTCGAATAGAGAGGAACGATCACGTCCCTCGATCTGCTCGCTATGCCCCTACTTATACATCCCAAAATGCCATTGGCCTTCTTGGCAACAAGGGCACACTGCTGACTCATATCCAGCTTCTCGTCCACTGTCACCCCTAGGTCCTTTTCCGCAGAACTGCTGCCTAGCCATTCGGTCCCTAGTCTGTAGCTGTGCATTGGGTTCTTCCGTCCTAAGTGCAGGACCCTGCACTTATCCTTATTGAACCTCATCAGATTTCTTTTGGCCCAATCCTCCAATTTGTCTAGGTCCTTCTGTATCCTATCCCTCCCCTCCAGCGTATCTACCACTCCTCCCAGTTTAGTATCATCCGCAAATTTGCTGAGAGTGCAATCCACACCATCCTCCAGATCATTTATGAAGATATTGAACAAAACCGGCCCCAGGACCGACCCTTGGGGCACTCCACTTGATACCGGCTGCCAACTAGACATGGAGCCATTGATAACTACCCGTTGAGCCCGACAATCTAGCCAGCTTTCTACCCACCTTGTAGTGCATTCATCCAGCCCATACTTCCTTAACTTGCTGACAAGAATACTGTGGGAGACCGTGTCAAAAGCTTTGCTAAAGTCAAGAAACAATACATCCACTGCTTTCCCTTCATCCACAGAACCAGTAATCTCATCATAGAAGGCGATTAGATTAGTCAGGCATGACCTTCCCTTGGTGAATCCATGCTGGCTGTTCCTGATCACTTTCCTTTCATGCAAGTACTTCAGGATTGATTCTTTGAGGACCTGCTCCATGATTTTTCCAGGGACTGAAGTGAGGCTGACTGGCCTGTAGTTCCCAGAATCCTCCTTCTTCCCTTTTTTAAAGATTGGCACTACATTAGCCTTTTTCCAGTCATCTGGGACTTCCCCCGTTCGCCACGAGTTTTCAAAGATAATGGCCAATGGCTCTGCAATCACAGCCGCCAGTTCCTTCAGCACTCTCGGATGCAACTCGTCCGGCCCCATGGACTTGTGCACGTCCAGCTTTTCTAAATAGTCCCTAACCACCTCTGTCTCCACAGAGGGCTGTCCATGTCTTCCCCATTTTGTGATGCCCAGCGTAGCAGTCTGGGAGCTGACCTTGTTAGTGAAAACAGAGGCAAAAAAAGCATTGAGTACATTAGCTTTTTCCACATCCTCTGTCACTAGTTTGCCTCCCTCATTCAGTAAGGGCCCACACATTCCTTGGCTTTCTTCTTGTTGCCAACATACCTGAAGAAACCCTTCTTGTTACTCTTGACATCTCTGGCTAGCTGCGGCTCCAGGTGCGATTTGGCCCTCCTGATAACATTCCTACATGCCCGAGCAAGATCACCTGCTCTTGGGTGATCTCAAGTGCACAATTAATAAATCTGGTGCAAGACTTCTGATATTTTAAATATCTGACCCTGGGAAAATGAGAAAATGAGTCTATGGCAAAGCTGTCCAGGCAGCACAAATGAACAGGACTAGAATAAGATAGT